GAGCACTGGCACAGTTTTTAGGTATCAAATATGTACTCTTTGGATTACTTTTTTCTGTAGCCGACACATTATCAATGTAAGCATAAAAACATATAGTAATTTGTAGTTACGTAACATGACGTAAAACACGACCTTATGTTTAAACATGATAACTTCTTACATCATGCACATTGACACAACTAAAAATAGACATTTACAAAAACTGTCACAAAAAATAAATTTAACGATTGAGGTACAGATGAGAATCATGACAATAATAATCACAAGAATTCTCCATTATGCAGTTTGACAAAATATTCGATACCTATCCAAAATTTACCTAGTGCTGGAAGTATATATCTGTTTCCACGCACTGGAACCCTCAGTAAAATGCGTGTCGATAAATGAAATTAACAATCAGAAATTCACTAAAAATACGAACTATTGCAGGTTACTTCAGTCGCTATACCTGTGTAAATTATTGGAATATTTCACAGAAAACAAAAAACCCACTGGCAAGGAAGCATATATTTATGGAGTCGCCGTTGTTTTATCTATTTTACTTCGAGTGCTAACTTACCAGTTCCATTATTTGGAAACTTTCAGCACAGGTTTGAAAGTTCGTACATCTTGCTGTTCTTTAATTTATAGAAAGATGGTAACTTCAAAATTCGCTACTGCACTAAAACATACTTTACCACATATATTAAACTTGTTCTCTACTGACCTTGACAAATTCGAGATGATTTTTTGTTATTTTCACCGCATGTGGAGCGGTATTTTGAAAATCATCGTAGGAACATTGTTGTTTCTTTCAGTGTCTGGTTATCAAGGAGTTGTTGGAATGGGAATAATCGTAATTTTTGCACTTTCTCAATGTTAGTATATTTTTTTTACCATTCCTTCGAAAGTAACGTACCGATATTTCAGATCTGTTTTTCACGAAAGCTGCTGCTCGAAGACAAAAAGTGACCAGAGAAAGAGGCAATCGCATACACATAATGAACGATATTATTTTTAGAATGAGGGAAATCAAATCGTTTGCTTGGGAGACGCCTTTCGCTGAACTCATAAACAAAATTAGAAGGTTTCAGTTTTTAAAATCAAGTCACAATTATAACTTTGTTAAATTTTAGATGTGAACTTAGGCATATAAGAAAACTGAATCACATATGGAACGAAAACACTACTATTGCGGAGTACCTTCACAAAATATCTATTTACGTGTTTATTTTACTTTTAACAACGACTGGTACTCCTTTAAACCCACAGTTGATTTTTATGTCCGTAAACATATATAATTTACTTAACATATCGGTGCAACATTCGGTTTTTGCTGTTAATTTAATGTCAGATTTGAAAGTGTGTATAACCTGTATCGAAACATTGCTGCTTTCGGGTCAGGAATCAACAGCTAACACACAAAAAATAGAAGGTATCCCATGTTGTAAAATATATGCTCATAATTTAACAGCTAGATGGAACCCATCGCAAAAAGCGGCGATAAAAGATATAAATTTTATACTTGGTTGTGGTCAGTTGGTTGCAGTTACCGGAGACACAGGCAGTGGAAAGTCTTCTTTACTCCAAACTATATTACAAGAACTAAGAATAGTTGACGGAATTCTCTCCCACGATGGCTTGATATCTTATGCATCACAACATCCATGGGTGTTCTCGGCAACTATCCAAGAAAACATCATATTTAATGAAAGCTTTAACCAGAACAAGTATCTGAATGTTCTTAAAATTTGCGCTTTGGAGTATGACATATCTCTTTTCTCCCATGGAGACAAAACATTGGTGGGAGAAAGAGGAGCTATGTTAAGTGGAGGCCAAAAAGCCAGAATTAACTTGGCACGAGCTATATACAAAGATGCAGACATCTATCTTTTAGATAATCCTCTAGCGGCGATGGATGTATCTGTCGCTCAACAAATTTTTACTCAATGCGTTTTACAATATCTAAAAACCAAAAGTGTTGTACTAATAACACACAATTTAAAATTTCTCAATTACTGTGACAAAGTATATGTTCTAGAAGACGGGAAGATAAAGTTTTCCGGAAAATATGAAACACTACAAGAGACAACAAATAACGTAGAAGAAAACAGAAACAAAACAGTGACAAAACTTTCTGGAAAAAGTTGTAAAACCCAAATTGAAACTAAAGAACACAGAGGTAGTGATAAAATCAACACATTTACAACATATTTATTTTCCAATGAAAACAAGTTCTTGATTTATCTTCAGTTCTTCCTCTTCATTTTAACTCAAGTTTTTATAAACGGTTCAGACGCCTTCTTGTCTTTCTGGATCACCCTGAAGCAAAATCCTACTAGTTTTAGCATAACACTAAAAGAATATTTTTCCGATGTTAAATGTTTGTACTTCTACAGTGGATTTATTCTAATAATGGTATTTTTGTTTCACATGGGTTCTTTAAACTTTGTAGAATGCTGTAATAAGTGCTCTGTTAAGTTACACAATACACTATTCAACAAAATACTATATGGAACTATGAAGTTTTTCGACAATCATCCATCTGGTCGAATTATTAATAGAATTTCTAGTGATATAAGTGCAATCGATGAGACCATCCCCAAAAATATATATCAAATTGCAAGACAAGTTTGTTCTGTGTTAGGGATTTATGTCGTTGTTAATGCAGTAAATTATTACATGATTCTACCAACACTAATTTTGTTGGTCATTTTTTATTACTATGTGCAAGCTTTCCGGCCAGTGCTTAACAAACTGAAGAGAATCGCTGCCACACGTAAACCTACGGCAGATACAGGACTACATCCTTCACTAATTTCATTTTTTCAGGTAAAAGTCCTATTTATACTCACATGGTTGCTACCATTGACGGACTAACAACCATCAAAGTTTCAAATGCCCAAAAACACTGTTTGTCAAAATTTGAACGCCATCAAGATTCTTATAATTCGATTAGATACCTCTATCATGCTTTGCATGCTTCTTACGCATTTTGGACAGATTTCACTTGCATGTCATATGTAGCCGTTGTTATATTCTTTCTAATAATCTTCAAAAAAAGCAAGTAAATAAGTGTCTATGTGGACGGCAAACTGATGTTTGTTTTCTAGATGATATGGTAGGAAACGTTGGTTTATCCATTACACAGTCGCTCTTACTGACTTCGTCAATACAGTGCTTGATCAAGATTTATGGTGAATTTAACACACAGATGACTTCAGTTGAAAGAGTTGCGGAATACGATGACCTAACAGTTGAAGATATTAACAAAAATGAAATTAATCCTCTTGCTACATGGCCTACAGAAGGCAAAATACTATTTCAATCAGTCTTCATGCGATATTCTCCCGAAAAACCGTTTATCCTCAAAAACGTCGATGTGGAATTCCAAGCTGGTGAAAAAATAGGAATCGTTGGCAGAACTGGTGCTGGAAAATCGTCTTTGATAAATGCGCTCTTTCACTTGTACGAATTCGAAGGAACAATATTAATAGACAACGTCGATATAAAAATGGTTCCTCTTGGCACTCTGAGATCTCGAATAGCAACTGTTCCTCAAGATCCTGTTCTTTTCTCAGGTACCATACGCGAAAATTTAGATCCTTTCAAAGAATTCACGGACTGCCAGTTATGGAGTGTTCTGGAAGAAGTGAATCTAAAACAGATTGTTTCAAATTTACCCTCTGGTTTGAGCAGTTCTCTTTCGGAAACCGGTGTCAATTTTAGTACGGGACAGAAACAACTAATGTGTTTAGTTAGAGCTATTTTGAAAAAATCCACAATTATTGTTCTTGACGAAGCAACTGCCTTTCTTGACTTGGACACCGACAAACTAATTCAAGCTACAATTAATAAGAGATTTCATAAGGCAACGGTTTTAAGAATTGCACATAGACTGGACAGTGTGATGCATTCGGATAAGATCATGGTTTTAGATGATGGTTGTGTTGTGGAATTTGGCACCCCGAATGAACTACTACAAAACGTAAATGGTTATTTTTATAAATACGTCAACGAATATGACAATTCTTCATTAAATATTCAGAAATAAATTTGAAATTTATTTAAAAATGATTTAGAAATATTTTATATTGTACTTAAAGTGTAAATTTTTTTCTTGAAGCAATATTGACTATATGTATTTAACAAGTGTCATATTGTTTTCTTCTTAATCATCGAAATTCGTGATAATATCGGTCCTATTTGTATAAACTGTTTCCTATAATAATAATTATGTGGACGAGAAAAGTAAGTGTGGTCAACTAATGAATGACTACATGATTGAAATCAAATTGTATTGTCTTTATTGTACAACAATTTAACTAATTCAAAAAAACAATAATATTGGGACATAATTGATTTTCACTGGAGAAAGTTTTTATCAAAATTTGTCCCATATTTTCCCATACCTATGATATTTAAGTCGTACATTTATTTTTTGACTTTTATGTCTTCATTATCTTATTTTTATCTTTAAAAGCGTTTCTAATACGTTCAAGTGTTATCATTATGACATTCGCATACATGAATATGGGTTTACACTTTTATTCAAATGTTGTTCACACTTTCGTCAAGCAAATAATTTCACTTGAGCATAAACAATTGAGTCAAACAATATATTTTTTAAAATTGTAGAAACTATTGTTTATGACACTAAAATGGACAACCACAAACCAAACAAAAAATCCACTAATCCGGAGAAAAAAAGCAACTGGTTTTTGAATTTATTCTTTATGTTAGTTAACAATCATTGGACAAATAAAACTTGAACTATATGAATAAATTTAAATTATAGATTTACAAAGGATACTTTCGTCAAGAGCTATAGAACCGAGTTAACTCAAAGTGACATATATGACGTGCTTCCCGAACATAACTCAAAAACATTAGGAGATAAATTAGAATATGAGTGGAAGACACAAATAGATGAAAATAAGGCATCTATACCGAGACTTCTTTGGAAATGTTTTGGCAGATAATATCTTTTAATATTAATCAGCTTGGTCATCCCTGTGACAATGACGTATTTACAACAACGTATTGATAACTTCACCTTCCTCTTAAAAATAATTTGTTTAGGTTGACGCAACCAAAAATACTAAAAACATTCATTTCATACTTTACAACACAACACAATAACCTAAGTAGAACTGATGCGACCTTGTATGGAGTATTGTTGATTGTAGTGATGGTTGTCAGACGTGTATACCAATACAACTTTCATCTAAGGCTTACAGAATTTGGCATTAAATTGCGTACTGGATTCACATCGTTAATTTACAGGCAAGTTTTAAAAATTAACCCGACATTGGTTGAAAATGGCAAGATGATAAATCTGATAACGAGAGATGTGAGTGAATTTGAAGACGCCATATATAACATAACCAACATATTAAGAGATCTTTCTAACGCCGTGGCAGCATGTTGTGTCCTATATTCAGAAATTGGGTGGTTATTTATTATACTCCCCACAATAATTTTTATTAGCATGTTTGTCAACAGTAAGCAGACAAAAATCAAATAATCATTTAGTTTTTAAATTTTTTTCAGCATGCATTGCAGTTCTAGTGCGTAAATTTAAATTGAAGTCTTTGAAGAAAACTGATGGAAGATATCAAATAATAAAGGAAGCATTGGGTGCAATAAAAGTCATCAAAATGAACCTTTGGGAAAAAACTTATGAACAGAAAATTGCTAAAATCAGACAGTAAGGACGTAAACAAATGACTAATTGTATGTGTGTTTTTTTTTCTTTATTTATAGTGAAGAAGTTCATTATATACGCAACGTAAATATACTGCTTTTTATAAAATTAGTCCTTTCTGAATCAATTTATAATGCGTCGTGGTACATAATTGTAGCAGTATCCATATTGTTTAAGATCCAGTCAAATGCCGGGACATTATTTCTTATAATGAACAGTCTAACTTTTATTTCTCATGGCTTAAAAACCAATTTTCCAACAGCAATTCATGAAATAGCTACATTAATTGCTATATTTAAACGAATTGGACAAACACTCCGAATTAAGAGTGAAGAATCATACGTGGAAGACAATAACCCTTCACCAAGAATTAAACTGAATTTAAAAATTCACGCTGGACATAGCCATACACAAATAACTTTAAAAAATTGTAATATTGTTAGCGGAATAACAGCAGTAACAGGACCTATTGGGAGTGGTAAAAGTCTTGTATTAAAAGTCCTCACAAAAGAATACAAAAATGTTGAAGGCGATTTAGAAGTCGTCGGCAGCATTTCTTACGTATCTCAAGAACCGTGGCTTTTTCCATCGACCATCAAACAGAACATTTTATTTGGAAGTAGTTATGATGAAAATCGCTACTTAGAGGTTTTACAAGTTTGTGCTCTACTTGAAGAGTTGCGACTTTTAACTGATGGTGATTCTTCTATTGTAATTGACGGAGGAGCTAATTTAAGTAAAGGACAAAAAGCTAGAATAAATTTAGCGCGAGCTGTTTATAAAGAACGTGATATATATTTGTTAGATGATTGTCTGGCTAGTTTGGATACGATTGTTGCAGATTTTGTATTTGAGCAATGCATTAAAAGATTTTTGAAAGACAAAATAGTGATCTTGGCTACTTCATCCATAAAATACGTCAATAGGTCAGATAATGTCATAACACTGAAAAATGGTACAGTGCAAAGTAAAAAAGTCCACAGTAAAGCACCGAGAAATGCGGAAACTAAAAGTATAAAATATATTGAAAAAAATACAGCAAAGGACGAAGAAGAGTCATCTACGGAAGAAAACTTTGATCATGAAACCCCATTAATTAAAGAAACTAAAGAGACAAGAGAACTCTATACAGAAACAAAAGTACAAGGAAAAGTACACTTCGGTGCTTATAGAAAATATATTGAAGTAAATGGAGGCATCGTCAAAATTGTTTTAGTCCTAGTTATCACTGGGCTAATTCAATTTTTGAAAAGTTTAATCAATAAAATGGAATCCGTTTGGTAAGACTAAAAGTTGATTTTTCTCTCATTGACAAGTACTTGTAGGATAAATGCAGAACAAGTATTGTTTAGCAATGCCACAGACAAACAAATTTATATTGAGGCAAATCAAAAACGTCACCAAATGTTAATTGTTCTACCTATAATTATTTCAACTACGACCATATTAATGCTATTAAACACATGTTTTTTCTGGGTGCTGGCTGCTAAAGCTTCTCAAAAGCTTCACAATTTACTTTTCTCTAATGTGGTTCGTAGTTTCATGCAATTCTTCGACAAAAATCGAATAGGAATTATTTTGAATAGATTTTCAGAAGACATACTGTACATTGATGAAATAGTACCCTCGACGTTTTTTCAACTAATTGGTGTAAATAGGTTAATTGTATAAAGTGGCTTATAATATTCCTGAATTTTAGCATTTTGTCGGAATAGTTGGAGTTATTATCTTCATAGCTACAGTTAATGCAACATTCCTAATTCCTTGTGTTCTGCTTAATATATTCTTGGTTTTGGTACTAATGTTCTACTTAAAAATTGGGAATGCTTTAAAGCGACTCGAATTCTTAGGTAAGCGTAATTATAAAAATCTTTAAAATGATAATTCTTATTATGTTAGCACGAAGTCCTGTAATTGGGTATATCAATGCAACTTAAGACGGACTGACAACCATAAGGACTTCAAGAATTCAAGACACACTACGAAAAGAATTTGACCAACATCAAGATTTGTATGCTTCCTCTTCTTACATGTACGCATGTTGTGAGAAAGCATATCTTCTTCTGATAGGAGCCGACCAAATTATTCTCCTTATTTTCGCAATTATCCTTTTTTTAGCACTAGATGACAGTAAATTGAAATCTTGAAAGCCAAGTGATACTAATTAACAATATTTTTTTTAGAAATGACAGCAGGAAAAGTTGGACTTGTTTTGTCACAAATATTTAGTCTGACAGGTGCACAGCTAGTATTTTATTGTATGATGACTAGACTTGAGAACCAAATGATAACAGTAGAAAGAGTTTTAGAATACACTAAACAAAAGCAAGAAAACAAAGATGGTTTAGTAATAGAACATTGGCCAAAGGAATGCGAAATACGATTCAAAGACGTGTACCTTTCTTACAAGAGCGACCAAGACCATGTTTTGAAACATTTAAATTTCTCCATCAAAAATAAAGAAAAGGTTGCCATCGTTGGTAGCACTGGTTCAGGAAAAACATCGTTGATTTCTACACTCATCCGACTTTACGATTTCGAAGGAAACATTTTTATTGACAACGTAGACATCAAAACACTTCCAATGGATTTCCTGAGATCAAAAATATCTGTAATTCCACAAGAACCTACTATATTTTCGGGAACGTTACGTGAAAATATTGATCCTAAAGGACAACATTCAGACGATGATATTTGGAAAGCTATTTCAACCGTGAATTTGTCACTCTTTCAAAATTTGGATGAGAGAATTGACATGAATTTAAGCATTTGTGAAAAGCAACTCATTTGTGTGTGCCGAGCTCTCATTCAGCGTAACAAAATCGTAATTTTTGACGAATGTAATGCCAGTGTCGATTCTGATACTGAAGCTTTGATACAAAAAGTAATATCAGAAAATTTTGCTGAATGTACAGTCATCGCAATTATGCACAAATTGCGTTATATTTTAGATTTTGATCTAGTATTAGTTGTAGATAAAGGTGTGATTATTGAGTCTGGTGATCCATCTAGTTTGCTGAAGAAAAAAAATGGGATGCTTAGCAACTTGTTTAAGAGACAATGAAATACTTCAAAAACTCAAAAAATTGATCTTAATAATAGAAGCTCAAGAGACAAGAGTTCGTTTTGTGTTGAGGGCTGTAGTTATCTTGACTAATGTGTATGCATTCCAAGAATTCACTAGCATAAATTGATATTTATGCGAGTGAATTCTTATTTTTGTTAAGTTCACGCCCAAAGCAATTGTGAAAATTCAGTGCGACAAGGATATAAACACCACATTACCATAAATTTGTTAAACAAAACGACGATCGTAAATTTAAGTCTAGAATAGAATTTAGACTAGGAATATTTTTTAGAAACAATAATAGCACCACGTTTGTCAGTGACGTGTTACATTTGTTATCATTATCAGTATCACTATCTCTAAAAATAAAGCTAACTTTTTTTGTAAGTTAGCAATGATTCAGGAAAATGGGAAAAATTTTACATATTTTCGTCAAGGGTTAGCGAACTGATCTCACTCAAAATGATATATACATGGTGAGTCAGTGAGCATGTGTTCCTCAATATCTCATTCATTATTAGAAATAGAAGAAAATACAAAGACCAAAGTTGAACGGTTCTTTGAGGACTATAATTTACATTTTTTTTTAATTATACAGAGTGTTCTGTTTTTAAGACATAACACCCAAGATGGTGTGGCCAAAAAGCCAGAATTAAATTGGCATGAGCTGTATACAAAGATGCAGAATTTTTACTCCATGTATCTGGAAATATCTAACAAATGTAATACTAGAAAAATTTAGATCCAGATCCTTTCAAGATTTCAGGCACTGCCAGTTGTGGAGTATTTTAGAAATGAATCTAAAAGAGATTACACAAAACTCATTTGACAGACACCTTGTAAAACTTTTATGACTTCAGCGGCTTAAGCCAAACCACCCTTGTAATAGACCCGAACGGGAAGAATTATTACTGTCCATTGTTGCCAAAATGGAGCTGCAAAATTTTGCTAGGTATATGTAAATTGAGTTAAGTTATGCACAAGGCCGATTGAATTCATGCGTTAATATAAGGTCTGCTCACTTTGCAGAAAATTCGGTTCTCAAAAAGTAGGCCGTGACGGTTAGGAAGTGGCGACATCTGTCTGCCAATTCTAATCAGTTACTGTCAATCCCTGGCGGGAAACGTAAATGTTCTTGTCAGCGTAATGTTCTCTGTTTATTATTTTCTTGCGCCATTTCTCACATTTCGTGTTTGATTTAACAATTTTTTCGTGTTCAGTTTCTTACTTTTCGTGTTTAGTTTCTTAGTTTTCGTGTTTATTGGGTTATAAACAATTTGTGTTATTTATTTGTTATCTGTAACAATGGGTAGACGCTGTGCCTTGTGCAAAAATAAAGACTTACCTTTGTGTGAAATACCTCAAGATCCCAACACTAGAAAAGAGTGGTTAGAGTTCTTCCAAAAACATTACAGTAAGTATTTTTTAGAGTCAAATTTACAGTACACACTTTTCCGATCCACTTGCAGATGCATTCGAAATAACAGATTTCACTGTAATTTGCAAGAAGCATTTCAAAGAAAAATGTTTCAAGAAAGTTGCTACAGGATATATATCGTTTAATCAAGGGATCCATTCCTATCATATTTGTAAGTATAGTGCGGTAAAAAATTTTATTTTTAAATATCGTAATTATTTTTTAAATTTACAGTAGTTTAGATAATAATAAAAAACATTTTAATAATTTTAATGCGTTGTAAATATAATTTTTGTTCAAGGATACTGATCCTGTTATACCTGGTCCTTCTTGCGCTTCCATTCCTGATTCAATTCACTTGAACGATCCCAATTTCTCTGCCACAAACGAAATGAACAATTCCTCCAGTGAGATGACAGCTTTGCATGAGAAATGTAAAGCCTTAGCGTTAGAATTAAAAAAAGAAAAACGTCCTCATGCTCGCTGCTCTGCAAAACTTAAAAACATTGAGCATCAACTGAAAAAAGCATAGACGTACTGGAGCAAATTAACAGCGATGCTGACAATTCTGATGAAAAGGCCATTTTTGTACTAGACCTAATTCATAACTATAAGAAGAAATCGCCAAGATGGTCTGAAATGTCTGTTCGATCATGTACCGTGTGGAGATACTGTTCACCTAAAGGATACGATTATTGCCAAAAACATTTGGTCAAATTACCATCTCGGGCAACCATAGATAGGCATATTGGTCCCTTCAATGGACAAAATGACCTTATCAAAGAACGTTTATCTGTAGAAATTGCACATTTAGAGCATCCTGCACAACGATTGTGTTCACTAATTATTGACAATATGTGAATAAAAGAGAAAATGTATTACCACAGAGTTGAAGATCATATTTATGGCCTTAATACTTGCAGTTCTGCCTCTTCTATTGGAAAAAAACTTAAAATGGCGAACAAAATGTTGTGCTATGTTGTACAAGGAATATCAGCAACATATACCATACCATGTGGGTATTTTTCCACTCATCTATGCAAGCCAAAGAATTTCACTCTTTAACCATGCAAGTGATGAAACTATTAACAGATTGTGGCTTTATGGTGTTGAGGATTGATACTGATAATCATCCCGGCAATGTTGGTCTATTTAAAAATTTAAGTGGAGGAATATTGCAAAACTGCCTTAACAACCCATTTCTACCGATGCCCCTCTTCTTATCATTCGACTTTTGCCACGCAATCAAAAACGCTAGAAACCTCTTTTTCGACCATGATATGTACTCGTCAGTTGGTGTTATTTCGTCATCATTTTTGAAAGCTTTATACGAGTTGCAAAAGGGGATGCCTGTAAAGCCTGTTACATATCTAACTAAAAAACATCTATACCCATCTAATTTTGAGAAGATGAATGTTTTGCGGGCCATACAGGTATTTTCACCAACCGTTACCGCAGCACTGAAGCTCTTAAAAGAAGATAAATATGAAGATTTTGATAATAGCGATGGAACCATTTTATACATGGAAAACATGTTCCTCTTTTTCCAAGTCCACAATGTCTCAAGCAGAAGGCACTACATACATGCATTAAACAGCAATATTGCACCATATATGTTTGTTTGTGATGAACGCCTGCAGTGGCTAAATAAGGACTTCCAAAATTATGTTGATGATATCCAGTCGATCTCTGCATGCACAGAGTACCAGGGTCTGAGCAACGGAACTGCCTATGCACTAAAATTTGCGACTCAAAGTACTTTTACTTCCCGAGCGTAAGCAAAGGAAGTATTGTAATCGAGTCCGTCGGCCGACTCTCTACTTTAACGTTTTCTCGATCTTTCATGACCCCTAGAAGACGAAGAAATCCCATTTCCGTCTGTCTGTCCGTCTGTCCGTCTGTCCGTCCGTCTGTCCGTCCGTCTGTCCGTCTGTTGTCCCGGATTTTTATTAGACAGATAATCTCCGAAAGTACTCGACCGATTGTTGTGAAATTTTGTACTTATATTAAGAATATCATGTAGATGGTAAAACGCTAACCAAAATTTGTCTAATCATCCCCACCACTAATGCGATGACGTCACTTCAAAATTGTACATAGTAAATGGGTTTTCAATTGTATAAAATAACGTAGTCCTACACATGTAGTTTACAACTCTGAATCGACTTTTCACCCGAAACGTCCAGATTTTTGGAAAAAAAATCAAAATTATAAAACAACATTTTGAAATTTAATTTTTAATCTGCTAACCAGAATGCTTTGAAATGTTGCAGATGTTTTAAGGCTATAAAGAGCATCATAAATTTTTAGTCAAAAAATATTTGCTTATCCCCTCCAAAAACTTGATGACGTCAGCTCAAAAGTTTGTGGAATAAATCATATCTAAAATGTACAAAATATGATGAGTCTGTACTTGTGATCTATCACTCCATTCATATTTTTTGGATTTGCATATACAGGGTGACTCAAAAAAATTAATGAAGGCGTGAATTTATTTTATCAATTTAATTAGGAATTACAAAACCGAATGCTTTGAAATTTTGGGAATATTTTAAAGTTATTATAAGCATGGTAAACTTTTGTTCAAAATGTATTTGTTCATCCCTCCTAAAAAAATTGATGACGTCACCCTTAAATTTTGCTGAATAAATCCTATCTAAAATGCAAAAAATATGATGAGTTTGTACTTGTGATTTATCATTCCATTCATATTTTTTAGATTTTCTTAAGAGGTGGTTCAAAAAAATTAATGAAGTCAATTTATTTTATTGATTAAATTAAAGGCAACACTTATTATTAGTATTACATCTCAACCAACCCAATTTGGTAGACACAAAATTTGTTAAAGGAAACACTCGGTTGAAACATAAGGGTAGCACGCTTATTTACATCGACTTTAACATTACAGACCTGCATTTGTTTTATGCGATCACTTGGTTCCGCGAATGTGAAATAGACATGTTTATAATCAACTAATTGTGAATTTCACCGTCAAGAATTAAAATAAAACCCAATGTTTTATATAATAAGCGGAAGTCGAAGCAATAAAACCGATGGTCGTTTTGTTTACAGTTTCTCTGTTTGACTCTCACGTATGCTGTTACGCTTGTCATCTTAAATTAAGAATGTTTATACATAAACGATTTTCAGTTGCCGTATACGTGAGTAAATTGTTTCGTTATTTTATTGATTATAAAAAATCAATATTCAAAACGACCCAATTCATTTTCCCGAAAATTTGGGAATACAATAATTTTATTCTTAGTATTACACTACATCTATCCCAACTGATATACGTGTCCTTGCAAAAATGTTGACGTCATCGCAATTTTTTTTAAATTCCCACTACAAAAATGTAATGAGAAAAAAACACAATAGCCATGCAGTCGTCAAGTTTCCGACAGCGAGGGAAGTACTGTCTAAACTCTTTAGACCAATTTTTTTATGTATCAAGTGTCTCCTCAAAGATGCAGGATTTTATTATGTTTTACCTCGTTGTTTCAGTTCCGATGCTGTTGAAGCAACTTTTTCTCACATACGCTTGAAAGGTGGTTCAAATGATACTACCGATGCTCGTGCT